CCCAAAACCGGCCCCCCCCCAAACCTTTTTTTTTTTTTTTTTTTTTTTTTTAGGCTGATGCAGCTGTAAGACCACTCTGAAGTTCTTACAAATATCCTCTTGCGTGTATACAAGTGGACTGCAAGTACAAACACTGAAATTACTGATCTGGTTTGTCAAAGGGTTATACACTTCTGAGGTTTGCCGGAGAAACATCATATTCCTCTAAAAACAGTTGTTCATCAGCCAGGGTGGAGTGGGGGGACCCTCAGGATTTGCCTTCTCACTACCTTTTGCTACGGTGAATTTGAGGACTCTCTGGAGATGTGGAAATGCTAAATTGTTCAATACAGTTCTCAAAAAAAGAGCAGCAAGATGAGCAGTTTCTGGAAGGTGGCACCTCAGTGAAGGCAGGCGAGTACAGCTGAGAAAGGTAAAAGGACTCAAATTAAACATGCTTGTTATTAGTGGAGTCTGGAGCAATCCTGCTCCAGCTTTCAACTTGGGCTGGTTTCATCCAGGGGGATGAACACAGCACGCTCTGAAGGGCTGCCTGTAACTTACGTAGGTTTAACTGAGCCAGACCTAGAAACGATGTCACCTGGGTACTGCATGCGGTGAGAGCTCAGCGTAGGCACCAGCATCTCCCAGCAAGACCTGAGAGAAATGCAGTTCTACTGCATTTCATCCTACACTGTTACTGGTCAGGCTCTGCACGGGTTGCAAGTGTACTTCTAGACTGTTGATTTAACAGTTTCTTCAGCTCCAGAAAGGCTTTTGATTTTTCTGTATACAGGGGAAGTTACCACATTTAGCATCGCTGTTCTTCTCCAAAACTTTTTAAGAAATCCTTAAAGTGTCCTGAATAAGTCATCTTTGCACTAGGTCTATGCAGAAATCCTCACTCCTGAGATCCTCTCGACAGGACAGACGTTAGCCAGTACGTCAGAGGATTCTCAAGGGGAAAAAAAGCCCGGCTGAACATGGGAGACATCCCGCCTCCTCTCCCTAAGGTGGGATCTACAGCACCCCATGGGCCACCCCAGAGGATTGCAGAGGGTGCAACAGGTACAAGACTTGCACCCCAACATTTAGGCTGTTTACCAGTAGCAGACGCCTTATCTGCAGGAACAGACAGCCTGCAGCAGGACCACGTGCCAAGCCGAATGATAACGATCCACTAGGCAGCAGTCCAAAGTAAGATGCAAAACGGCCATCCATCCTCAAACGTGGCTGGGGTTTTTTTGGCTGCTTCTACCTGCTACTCCAGAGCAAAGGAAGAACTTCAGAGAAATCTGATGACTAAGGAAGGTCCAGAGTTATTCCACCATGGGAAGACAGGGAGAGGGGTGATGGTGGAGACTACGAAGGAATCTCAGTGCTTAAGGAAAAATTTGGAGTGGTACAAGGCCAAAATTCACATCCCAGCAAGAAGGGCCATCAGTGAGGTTACTCTGCTGATGAGGCTGCCAGTTTTTTCCCCTGTTTGCGAGGCGGCACTGACAGCACAATCGTTATTGCTGCAGCAGCTTCATAAAAAGATCTGGCACAACGACAACCCTTGTCCTTAAAGCTTAACACATCAAAACCAATACTAAAAAAAAAAAATTTGGAAAACCAACTGATAGTTGAGAGAGATCACAGCTGTTGCCAAATAATATTCATATTAAGTAATATGGTGTTTAGACTAATATCTGCATGAGTTGCTGGCTCAGCTATAGGCTCATTGCTGTTACCCGCTACAGCTCACTGCAGCATGCGGAGGTGGATATATGATTTTGGAAGCAGAGTTTTTAAAATTCCAAATGATAAGCATGCCATTGCATTAAAACATTAACTTTGGCATTTCGTAACAATGTATTTAAAATAAAATTCAGAATAACCTAAGTAAAACATCCAAGTGTGGAAATCAGCAGACTACCAATGATTTCTCACATATGCATTTGTAAAATGCCCCTGCTTATAGGGTGTTTTCCACCACAATATCACAGAAAGCTTCAAATGCCATTACAGAAAGTGCAAGAGTATCCAAGGAAATGTAGGACTCAAGTCAGCCTTTAGTTGAGATGATGTTGTGCCAATTGTGTCTCTTCATCCAGGCAAACCTAATACATGGATATTGACTGTGATGTTCAGTATTGGATTTTGTCCTCCAAGAAAGTAGACAGAGAAAACATCTGTCCACCACAGAGGTGCATCACTCTCCAGGACTCAAGCTTAGCTGCCTTTAAAATAAGAGCAGACCGAGCAAGCAAATTTAGTAACCTCAGTTACTTGGCTCATCATCTTGGACACCTCCATCAGAGATGATAAGCCTCGATCCCTCAGGCATCTGTGGCCAGACCAGCCAGGAAAACTTCAGCCTTTGAAACAAACAAGTAGTGAACTCCATCTCCAATGTGTGCTTAATCGCACTAACATTGGGGTTGCATTGCGATCTGGTCAAGTCAAAGCCAATTTCTGTTGGATTAAGTCCATCTGAGGATGCTTGTAATGAATATTTACATATAAAATTACAATCTGGTATCTTGTTTCGATCCTTGTGAAACGTCATCAAGCAAAAGTCTGAAATGCAGGGAACTATGAACAGCCACCAACACAGAGGTGAGATTCTTTCCAGCCATCCCAACATCAAAGTTAGGCCAACGTGGCATAGCAATATGGGAGAAGTGCAAGAGAACATTTAAATCGTCTTTTTTGAAGTTTTCTGCGCTGGTTGAGAGCCACTTTGAGGAGAAACTGCTGGCAGTATAAACCCCTTAGCAACTGTGAAGCTGTTAGTTATGCAGAGGAACATGCACTACAGAGTTTAAATTTTGTTGGATACACACCTAGACCAGTCTCAATGCATGCTCTATAAGCAGTTAGTAAATGCTACTCAAGTGGTTAAGATCAAAAGCTAGTTTCCTCTAGGTATGTACTACTTAAGACAGTTTTCCATCTGCTATGGAAGCGATCCAAGCCTCAGCCATTCTCAAAGTATTAACATTTATTATCTGTTTCATAAGATTTTTTTTTTTTTTTCATTCTCCAAAACATAGCTTAGGAACAGTGAAGTTGTTTTTGCCCAAACTTCACAAGCAGATCAGTGTTTCAGCACCTACATTTTCATCCCAGAAGGCAAATGTCTTGCTGCGTTGTTATTGATCCCTTGTGCTGCTAGACAACTCGTCACTGCTGCACAAGCTGCAACACAGCTGCCTTGGGGAGCTACCTACCATGCTAGAGGAGGGCTCGTCCAGCCCAGGAAGACACTAACGATGCAGTGCTTCCCAAACGGATTCAGCATGTTGCCCTCCACGTACTCCAAAGCACCTGCTCCGTTACTTGGACGCGTCATGTTCCTACAGCACCATGGCATACCACCGCTTCTCACAAGGACTCCTTGGATAGGTTTTCTTGATAAACACTGTAGTAAGCAGCTAGGTGTCACTTTAATTAAAGCCTGTTTCTCCATGTGGTTCTTTCAAATACTCATTTTATCCTCAAATTACCCCTTCCCCCATCTTTTAAAGAGGAAGGTATGCAGAAGAAGCTCAAAGATGAAACAGTTACTACTTTTTGTGTACCAAACAGGGTGTAACTAATTAGTGCTACCATCAAACCTGATAAATACCTAATCTTTAGAAAGTGTAACTCAGTGGCTATTACAATTATATATAGTTTCCAGAGCATTCCTTAAATACAGATTCACAGTTACAGACCAAAATAAGAGCCCTACCCCCACCCTTTTAACACTGAAAACATGTTTTATTTCTGAAGCACCTCTGCGGTCCCAGTCCCTTTCAGTGTAACGTTTCCTTACAAAACCTGCCTGGTGTCCAATCCAGATGCCACATGGAAGAGGGAGTGCCATCAGGGATTAGAGTGTTTCCAGCTCTCCCCTTGTGCTGCTCTACGCTCCTTAGGGCTGACGTGCAGGATTTCTCAGGGCTAATACAGCAGGAAAGAGACGGGAGCGCTAGACCCACCTTGTGTAACAAAAGCTTTACAGATAATGAAACAACCACCCTCCCACCCCATAGTCTGAGATCTTGGGGAAATCCAGCGTTAGGACTTTGCACAGCACTTGGACCCTCTGCGCTTGCCGGGCTTAATGTTTGGTGAGGGAACAGATGAGAAACCAAACAGCTCAAAGCTGAATGAACTGTGCTGCTGATCGTTCCTGCCACAAAGCCCCACTTGGTTCTGCTTCCACAAGTTCGCTTTGCCCTTTTTTCCCCCTCCTTACAAGTGGCTTTGAGCACACTTACCGTCTGGGACTTCATCCGGCCGCTTCCTTTTCTCATAAACAACTATGATGACAACGAGGATAACGATTTCTGCCAAGATCCCCAAAAAGGGCCAGAGGGGAGCCAAGTGACTGCGGACACGGAGGATGGTTGTGACCGAGACAGAGCCGACCTGGTTGGTTGCGTTGCATTGGTACTCGCCAGGATCCTCGTTTATCTGTAGGTTTGTGATGCTGAGCTCAGTGTAGTTGTCTTTATTTGAAATAAAGAATCTGCCGGAGGAGTTGTTGATGTCCTGATAAGAGGAGGAAGGTGGAAGAGGAAAAGAGCAAGAGCTTTAGTAAGTTCTGGTGCCTTTTCAAACTAGAAGAGATTTGAGGGATTCTTCAAAGAGGCTGGTTCCTTAACACAACAGAAAAGTCCACTGCCAGTGTTTATTCTGTATCCCTCACTAAAGTGAATTGTGCTTCAAAACAACAACCAAAAAATGCCAACTTGACTGACAAGCTTTATTTTTATCCTACTTTAACAGTATCAGCCATGAAATACACCAGTGGTTGCGACCATGTAAGCTACCATGTTCTCAGCCTTTTGCTTCAAGAGAAACTGTTATGCTCCACTCACCAGTTTACAGCAATAAGATGAAACAGGTCGACCTAAACAGATGAGACAAGTAACAGGAGAGAGGATACATTCCCTAGCAGAGGACAAAACGTTTTCAGTGTAGAGTGGGAAAAAAGAAAAACAGTACCCGTTAAGATTATTCTGCACTTCATTAGATAGCATTTTCTAACTATTTAAGGTATGACGGACCTAATAAATTTTTGCCTCTGCTATGTTTTTAAAAGAAACACGCACTGCTCACAGATTTGTGGTCAGGGCAGCCTAAGCCAGTGACTTCAGGAACATTTAGAGAAGCTGGAATTTGAGGCACCATATTCTTTCTCCATTAGAAAAAAGACTTCCAGAGTTGCTTATGTTTAAAGAACTAAAAAGGGAAAAAACTTGACAAACTATGGATGTTTGATCTTCCTGAAAGTTAATCGTGGATGAATTTATCAAATAACTTAACCAGAAAAGACAGTGTGAAGGGAAATGCACAGAACACTATACAGGGCTCTCTGACTCACAGCACTGGGTAAGTCATTCACACAGCACTGTCCCTTAAAAATATAAGCTCACACTTAACAGTGAACAATCAACCCATACTATTATTTGCTTAATATTTTTTCTTCATCTGTCAATCAAATTGCTACCTCTCTGGCAGATCATACAGCAACATAAAAATAGGTGGCTGAGGATTTAGCAACCTCCAGCTTCTCTTCTGCTATTCCAATTGCTGGTCGAGGTTTTTTTGCTCATTAGATCAGTTGCCACATGGAAAAAAATATGATCACTTAAACACTAACAGGTATCACTGCCACATCCTCATGTTAAGTCTTGTGAGGTCAAACAGTAAAATGGGAAAACAGTTTGAGAAATTTATAACCAAATGCATTTTTAAATCACATTTTATAACTCATGTTTTGCAATTCATAGCAAATACCCTGAACATCATATCTTTCTGGACAGTTCATAACTTTGCCCAGCAGCAATGCAATGAGCAACTCTGTTTACACAGCAACAATACAAATACCCATTTTATACTCACTGATGCTGAAAAATTTCAGCTTCACTCACTAATGTATCAGACTTTTGAGGAACTGCGTTTTGAGAAGTTATAAGGCACCCTAAGTAATACATCCCTAAAACCAAGGTGCTTGTTTCCTTCCTTACTGGGGGTTTTGGCAGGGTTAATACACACCTGACACCCCAGTTCTCTTACCTCAAATACTCCATTGACCTTCTTGCGCCACACCCACTCGGGATGTGGGAAGCCCACAGACTTGCAGTACATGAGTGCCTCCTGCCCCTCATTTTTATTTTCACTTCGCTTGTGGCCAGTGATGTCAGGAGTAGCTATGAAACAAAACAAAAAAACCTGTTTACAAGCTGCTCATTAAAGAGAGAGTTATTTCAAGCTCTGAGAATTTGAACAGAAAAATAAGTGACAAGTTCCCTGTAAGCTGTTGCCTTTCCCACACTGAGCCCATCTTACAGAAGAAAAATTGCGATTCCCATGTCTCTCCAAGCAGCATCTCAACTGAAGATCTGCAAGAATGTCCTTCAGGCTTGGTTTGCCAGACAAATTGAGGGACAAGGGAGAAATCTCAACATCAAACCTGAGTTATCTACCACAAGCCTACAAAACTAAGATGGCCCAGCCGTTCCCCAGTGCAGGAAGCTGAGAAACATCCACGTCTCCCTGCCGACCGCTCAGGAGTTCCCTGCGGCTCTGCAGTTCCTTCAGCTTTGAAACAGAGCTGTCGGAGATTCTGGTCACAACTTGCCCATCACGTCAGGACTCTGAACCCATAGTGTCTTAAGATGGATTTCTGAAAGCTGAATCATAGGTATTCTTTCTTACAGCAAGAGTTTTAGATTTGGTCCACAGACGTGCTGTGACTTGTTACACTTTACACTTGTTACACCTTACAGCGACATTACTCCCGGGTACCATTGGGTACCTGTAATGCAGCAGAAGTCAAAATCCATCCAACAAAGATCATTTCATTCAGCCCACCCACAAATACATCTATGCTAAGGAGGGCTGCAGGTGAAGCTGGGCAACCACAAGCAGAACACAGCCCTGAATATCAGCAGAGGGTCTTCTGAATTAACTTATCCATAAATAACGTCACTGCCATTTGCCACAGCAGCCCGTTGCAGCCTAATACCTCACGAGAGATTACGATGGATCAACGGACTGCCTGAGCTGAACCTTGCTTAAGCAGATGGCTTTGGTGCCGCAGTGACCACCTTTAAAGCCCATTCGCTTTCAAGCTTGCTAATTATGTCACACGTGGCCTGCTGTGTGATTGCAGGACACTGATCTGTTAATCCAGTCAAAGTCCAACCTGAGTTCTCCAGGAAAAGACCCCCCAGGCACTGGAATTTATTACAAGGGTCTATTCAAGGGGAGTTCCCTTTACCACTAGCAACCCCTACAGACAGGTATACAGAGGGAGCACAGGTTTGTGACAGCTTATCTGCAGCTGCAAGCTAAAAGAATTAAACAGATTTCACAGTTGTCATCAGAGGCAGCAAACAAAACCAAGCAAAACTTCTTGTGCAGAAGGACATCATCAGCTGAGCCTGCTCTTCCCCAGAATGACATCACAACTCTTTGGGAAAATGTTCGGCAACTTTAAGTGCTAAAGGAATTATCATTTTATCATGCCTTACTCCTGCAAGATTCTTTTCAGACAGTAGTGCAGCCGATTGATAATGTTGTTAGAGGCAGAATTAAAATAAGCTTCTGAACAATAGAAGAATCATGGTTGTAAGAATACTTAAGCTACAGCATTCCTTAGTATGTGTGTATTTGCCGGAAAGGACACCACCAGGAGAGGCTGATCAACCCAGGCTTTTCTCAAAACACCTATGTAAATTCAAACAGGATTTCCAACACACGTGTGCGCTTTGCAGAAGTTCTGACCGTTTGCCATGTAAAGAAACATGCACTTGCTGCTTAGAGAATTATTAACTCTTAGCTGCGTTTTCTAACAGATGATTTGCTCCAATTCAGCAACAGCCAGTGCTGTAGGTATGCACTGACAAGCTGAACAGATCCTCCATGCTGGATGCTGCTGCAGAGGATGCAGAGGCCAGTTCCTTAGAAATTAAAACTAACTCCAGGACTTCTGCTAGAACCCTTAAGGAAGTTAGGCCATTTTAAAATATTTTAATATGTTAAGCATGTTCTCTTTTTTTTTTTTTTCTGATTTTTAAGTAAACACCTTTTTAGCAGGGAGCTGAAAAAGAGCTCACTACCTAAGAAAAATACTATGACTGTATCATCCCATAAGGAAGAAGGTGAAGAAGGAAGTACTTGATCAAGTCTGTAAGTATCCACACAGGTAAATAATGGCTTTGCTAACAATATTCAATATACATAATCATATAGCAAGACCAATGGATGAAGCTAGACAAATGTCAACTAGTTGCAAGATGATGCTAACCGTAACCATGATATATAAGAACAAGGCGCTGGGGGTTTTATTTATTTTTAAGAAAACTGACACCTAAAATATATCTTTACACATCAAACATGAAAACACTTTGAGAGGTGAAAACATGAACTGAATGAAGACAACAGATCATAACAATTCTCTGGTCTTGTGCAAAAAGAAGCTGCCAGGTATAGAAACTGAAGCAAACTGGAAAGGAAAGAACACTCCATACTTGCTGAGTGATCACATACTACCTGTGCCTATCAGGGGCAATAATATTTGGAGGAAATTAAGTTTTCGAGCTGAAGGTCTCGAAGAAGAAAATAAATCTGCTCTAGGGTTGACTGTGCTGCATTACATCTTCAGAATATTAAGCATCAGTATGCACCTGCAACATCCTTTCAAACCACTGTCTGCAGCCTCAAAGAAGAATAAAATATTTACTCCAAAAGATGGTGGTTTAACAAGAAGTTAATTTCATCTCGTGATCTACTGAAAGGTGTCATCTCCTCCTTGCTAGGCTTGGAAAGTTCTCTTTTAGGGAGGAGGTAGGTAAGCCCAGTGACTTCCCTGCGGTTTCTTGCTTACTTGAGGATGATACGCAGAGATTGCATCGAACCTAATGAAAATGAAAGGCCAGCAGAAGCAGAACACAAGAGACAGACTTAAGGCAAGGTGAGGGTCCCAAAACTAGCGCTGATGGTTTCTGAAAAGCAATTGCAAATTACCCCCATTAGGAAAAGTAGAAATAGGATTCATCAGCTTACAGCTGAAGCCCCACACAGTCTCCATCAGTCAGCACTTCATTTTTTCACTGCCATCTACCAGCAGACATCGAGTCAAAGCAGAACCTTGCAGGGGAAAAGGATACAGTAAGTCAGCACTCTGCGGCTGGCCCACTTTTTCTATAAGGTTGCTGATAGAGAAAAAAGAAAGAAAGAAAGAAAGAAAAGAAAGAAAGAGGGAAAGCTTTCTAGGACACCTTAACTTCTACTGCAGGGTGACCTAGTGTTCTCCTACAGCCAAGAGATAATTATATTTATTTAAGAATAGGACATCTTCGCTGGGTTATCCCAATGAGAGCCTAAGTGACAAGAATACATTCTTCTCTTTCCTTGCTGGGCACAGTTACGCAGCAGCCATTTCCAGCTCTACTAGGACAGGGACTATTTTTGTACGCAGTCTGAGGGGAGCACTACATGGAATATTAATATTTCAGGGCATGATGAAGCCAGTTTCAAGCTATGGCTGAGACATTAATCCAGTATTTATTCTGCCAAACTGTTTGGCTAATTGTGTCCTGCTGTACAAACTACAATTAAAATATCGCTGCAACTGACCTCAGTCTCAGATTTAGCAAGAGCGCGATGTTTTCCTGTGAAGCTTTTCAAGTCAAGATTTTTCTTACACCACTCTGCTCCAGTGCCAGGAACAGATAAAGCACAGAATGAAGCAGGTTTTGTTCAGAAAGGATTTAGATTTCACTTTAGCTTTTAAGCAGCAGAATCCACATCTCTGTTCAGATGCAGTTGGCTGTGGAGACATCGGTACAACGTGCTATGTCGGCTCCTACATCACTGAAACCAAGATAATGCCCCTGATAAAAGAAAGCAAGTTTTTTATTCTTACATTGTGAAACAGGAAAACTAAATACTGAATCATTGTTTGAAACAGCATATGGAAGAGCAAAAAAAGCCAGGGCTAGTTTAAATTAATTGCTGGGGGATTGACACAACACTCCTGATAAGCATCATTCTTTTGATAGTTTTAGAATGAATCACAACAGAAAGGGGATTTGTGCCAGAGTAAACATTGGACCTCCGTGCTTCAAGTACCCAAAAGGCACAAAATACACTGTGCAGCAGCTTTCTGAATGGTATGCTTTCAATACAGCCTTGAAAAGAGGGGTTTTTTCTTGTTACAGGGCATGCAATGTCATTTCTTGATATATAGGAGGTATTCAGCCCTTAATTTCCAGGCATATTCAAGATATTTTACTAGCATTACTAAAAAGGAGAGGAGAACTAATAGGCGTAACACCTCCAACCCATGTCCCAGTTAACAAAACCCCTTTAAGTTTTCCCATTAACAGACAAAATTAAAGCAAGGGCAAAAGCACCTAAAAATATTCTTGCATGTAAAAACTATTGTGTCTTATGGGTGACCTAGTAAAAGGGCTCTGAAAGATTTATTTTTCTGCATTGTAATTTTAATCCATGTCTACCTTTATAGCCTGGGCGGAGAGCTAAGACACTGAAGGTACTGTGAGTAGGGAGAACGTGACATGCATTTTCCATGTAATGCTTAGGATCACTCTTAAGATGCAGTTGTGCTAAGAGAATGCCTTAGTTCTTAATTAATTTCTGGTACAGCATTGTAAAAATGCAGCAGAGGTTTAAGACAGCCAAGAGTCAAGAAACCAAGGATTGTCCACGGCTGCTGAAATAACCACTCGTTTTCCAGCACACTGCTTGGGCTGGAGCCAGAGCGAAAGTGGAAGAGTAACATTCTGAGTGCAGGTATTGCATGTGAAATAAGAGCCTCTGGCTCAGATGAAGTTAGGGGGTATAATAAGCATTTTTCAAAAGTGGTAAGTTTTATGCCTCTCAGAAGCAGCAAATGGGACTGGTCTGAGCACTTGCTATCGGGAAATGAACAGCTGTTGGGGAGGATAGGAGAGAAAGGTGCAAAATGAGCCAGGGATGAGGAGGGAAGTCAGAAGAATTCCCTTGATGAGATAACGGCAGAAAGGCCTTATAGGAAGAGGCATTAAAAAGCTCTACCTCTCCAGGTGCACGGAAAGAAGGGAGCCTTTGATGGGAAGGCAGGGCACAGAGAACAGATGCCCTCCATCAGTCATGCTACCTACATCAGTACCTTTCTTGATGCTTGCACTACTTCTAGGCAGCCAGAGGGAACTGGAAGCATGTTCTTCCCCATCTGGTTCTCAGTGCTGCTGCTCTGCACCGGACAATGGTTTGGAGTATCAGAAGACAGAAAGACAAACTTGTTTCCCCTTCCTTCTCCCAAGATCTTGCTAAGAGCAGAAAGACTGCAGACACAGAATTCTTCAGGGTTGTGTTTTGGGGGTTTTTTGGTTTTTTTTCTTTCTTTTCATCTTCAAGTTTTCAGAGCTTTGGCACCACAACAACACAGCAAAAGCACTGCAGGTATTTCCACCATGTGGCAGTGGAGCAATTACAAAAGCCTACTTCCAGATGGGGAGTAGACAGCACGCTGCATCTTGGCTAGTGCCTGGCAGGATCATCATCACTGTTCCTGCTGCCTGGTTACCTGCAACACTCCCAGCCAGCTGCCTTCACTGCAAAAGCAAAGAGTGGGAGAAGATCCCTGTTTCAAGGCAGAATCTTCCTAATATCAGCATTTGCTCAGCCTGTTGTTTCAGGCTTAGAGCTGCACTCGCACAATGCCCCTAACAGCTCTGAGAATTTGAACAAGACTACTCAGTCTCCACCAGACACTTCATCCAAAAGACAACTGTATGAGGGAAGCCAGACTTATGCCCTTCCTGGGAATCGTGAGAGACCGACATTAAACCCCAGTATTTTCAAATGCTGTTACACTAGTCCTGCCCTAGTAATTTTTTTACCAAGAAAATCTGCTTTAAGCATGCAAGCACACCTAGCACCATCTAACAGCGATGGTCATGCTTCTGCATTTTTATCTTCTTATATAGCACATGTAGAGATTCAGGAAGAAAATAGGCAACATTACATAAAAGACAAATGGCACTGGTATATCCTGGATTACATCTGCTGCGAGGCATTTGTTAAAGTTGTTCACAAGTTGTCAGAAAGTCACTATTTTGGTCTGCAAGCACTTTCGTATTCTGAACCATCTTTTCTATGTGCATCAGCAGTTAAAAATTGCAATATAATTACAATTAGCAACTAAGCAATTAAGTTTGTGTACAGTTGCTTAACCACAAATACTGTGACAGGCCACACATGCAGGTAAGCATTACATTACGGCATCTGCATGGTCAAACAAGATTCATGCATCACTGATACATCACATATGTCTTCATTAACAACTAGGTAGCATCTCCACACATGAAGTAGTATCAAAAATCTGTTTGCTTTGAGAACTAGAACTGCTGTGGCAGAATGTGTAGAATATTTACACCAAACTGCAGGAATCACAGAGAATGCCTTCTTTTGCAAAGTAAAAAAAAGCCTGTGTATTCTTTGCAACTAGCATGGATATTATTCAGAGACATTTACATCCAAGAAAATATGTACGATACCATACAAGTTTAGCTGTATGGCTCTTCCAGGAGCAGTAACTCAAAGGAGTACTCATTTGATCAGAATGAATTTATGTACAGCGCTAGGACTGCAAGGAGACTGCTAAGTTCTCCAACTTGTGCTTTAAAGGCAGTCACAATTTATTACTATGTAAGTTTCCAAGTAACACGAGTTAGATAGGAAAGCGTCTTTTCAGTTTAGAAATACATGCGTTTAAAAGTACATGCGTTCCAATTTCCAATTTGCTTTGCAGAAGACTTGACAAGGTACTTCCCACCCTAGACAACCCTGGGTACTTCTCTCTGCCAAGGAGGAATTCGAGTCCCATCAGCCACTCTTGTGATGCTGTAAGGAGAAGCTGGAGAATAGGGTTACTGAGTCCTGGAATTGCGACCACTGAGCAAGCTGCAGGTGTAATACCTTCCAAGAGTGGTGCTGGAGTCATTAATTTTTAACTGAGGACAACTCATTGGTATTTGTATATAAATTACCTGTGAAAAGTTGTTAGTAGGATTAGTTATTATTCTCCCTCCGCCCTCTGTGCCAGTACTTCAACCAGATATATTGGCTTTTCTTTCAACAATGTTAAATCCTATGTCCCTGTAAACCCCTCTGCCAAGTTCTCTCAGTGTCCCCGCCTGGCACTGGACAGCAGAGAAGCCCTAAGCCAAATGTTTCTAAAAGGTCTTTTGAGAGATTAGACAAAGCTGAAAAAGGTCTTAATCTATTAACAAAGTTAAATTTCCTATCTCTAGGAGTGGTTTGTCACCCAAAGCAGCCTAGAAAAGGCAGAAAGAACTTAAGATTTTCATTAAGATAATATTAGAAGATTTAGCAATCAGAGCATAAGAGCAGAATGCAAAAAAATACCCCCCAAAAGAAGGAAAAAGAAGAAAAAAAAAAACCACAAAAAAAACCCAAAAAAAACACCTAGGTACCTTGAACACCCAGAAGACAAACTCACCAGAAGTACACCTTAAGTTTGAATTCAACTTGCTGTAAGCAAGGAAATAATTATTTTTAGAGGTGCAGTCAGATTTTTCATCAATAACAGTCCATTTCTCATGTGTTCACATGCCGTACACCTCTTAGCTATGCCAACAGGAACTTCGGTGCATTTGCATGAGCACATCTAAAATAAGATTTCCTTTTTCCTTGCAGAGATAGCTTATTCACCAGATTTGGTTAAACACTGGGTATAGTTTGATACGTTGTTTTATGCAAGATCATTGGGAGAAAAAAAAAAAAAAAACCACTTAAAAATTGACACAAGAAATCAGCAAGCTTTTCTTGGTGCAGCATCAGTCAGAATGCTCATTTATATGGCAATATTTCTCTTCCCCAAGAAACTCTGTATGGTGCAAAAGATGCTGTTCTCTGGAGAGGAAAGATGGCATTCAGAATAATACTGTGCATCTGTCATTTCACACAGACTGCTGAATTACTCCCACTTCCTCACTTCGGATTCAGGAACCTGACCATGCAGCGAGGCACCAGAAATTCCCAGGAAAGAGGTCAGCTTTCAGCTTTTGCTACAGATCTGTGATACCTAATTTAGACAGCAATGATCACAATATAGATCAGGATAGGCTGCGTCACTGGTGCAGGGGTGCTAAGAAATAGTGTGAAGCATCCTTCTTCCCATTTGCTATTTTCAAACAGCAGCAGAGGAAGCTCTACATTTAAGCTAAGGGTGCAAGGAATATGGTAAGTAATGCTAACTTAGATTTCAAACAAGTTTACAGTACACCTTCATAAAACAAGCATCAGTATAGTCCCAGACTCGCACAGGCTGGTTGCAAGACTATTTAACACATTTTTGCGTAAACTCATCTGCCTTTGACTAACAAAGCTGTCATAATGCATCAATTCCATCTTACTGCAGCACGTAAGGGGCAAACCACAGCTACTGCAGAGCAGTGGGCCAGTAATTTCCACAGTTAATCAATGAACAAACAACTGTACTGTGGCAGCAGTTTAACACTGTATAAAACACCATCATCTCCATGTTACTTCTATAGTGTAAGTCTAACAGAAACACTGTTCTTTTGCTCAACAACTACAATAAAACTTGGTGCAAGCTTTTCACGTTTTGCCATTTCTACCCACGATTTTAGGGTCCTGAAGATGTCAGACGACTACTAACATGCACAAGACAGAAAAAAAGGTGCATGAAAGTAGAAAACCCCAATCTGGTATAGGGCATCTGTCCTAACCAGAATCCAGGCTTTCCTGGCAACTGAAATAGTCTCTGCAGACAAACACCAGTTCCAAGCTGCCACACTCAAGATGCTGGTTCTTACTTTTTTCCTATTCAGAACAGACAAATTCAAAGTACATTGAATACATTCAGATGGCCTCATTTACTGTGAAATAGGGAGGAAACAACAGCTGTCTTTGCATGAGCACAGACATGTTCTACAGCAATCTTTATCCTGCTGGACAGGCACACTCTCTTGTGATAGCCAGATTTACCAAAGGAGTACAGAAGTGTGTGCTAGCGGGTGTTTTAGTATCCCCTGTGTGGACCACAAATGCAATGGTCATATTCCCGTACCTGTAAGATCTTTCCTCTACGACTGCGTACAAGACTTTCCCTTGAAATTATAACCAAGGATTAGACGCAGGCTCTGTATCATGAGGAAAGCCTCCTGAGTTAGCTCTCTTGTACGGACACTGAGCGAGACGGCAGAGGCAGTGAAAGCACTTCACTTTCAGGGAGAGGAAACAAAACAAAACAAAACAAAAGAGTACCTCTCACTTCTATAGTGGCGTTGGCTATAGGAGAGTTTGAAAACACAAACACGCACAAGTATTCCCCTGACTCTTCTGCTCTGGGCTTCAAAATCCTGCAGACAGGGAGAGAACACATGAGCCGTGTTAAGTACTGTGTTAGCAACCAAAAACGAGCAGGCTAGGAATTTATTTTTCCCCCCATACTTCAATCTTTTAACTGATTTTCACAGCTATTACTTGTTAATTCAAGGTATGTTGTGCAGACGTACCTACTTGAAATAAAGGATGTTGTTTGCCTAGGAAAAGGGTGAGCTCTAGTCTGGAAAATCAGTACCAATTTAGATGGAGAAACTGCATTTAGTTCAAAAGCAAAGAAGGAGCCCAACACCTGTTAATTACTGCACTACAGTTAGTTTGATGCAAGCCATCCTCAAGTCACTAGCCTATTAGGCAGGTATCACCTTCCACTGAGGGAGAAACATGATTTGTATGTACTACCTGCATTGAAAAAATCATACGTGGCCAATTGGAAAATGACAGACTACAAATACAATCAAGGCTGACACTGTCATCTCATAAGCTGCTTTCTTTTTTTTCCATAACAGATGAGAGACTGGTCCATTAATAGTTTTCTCTGATTCAGACTGGATATGGAAAAACTGCAAAAGCTGGTCAGCTCATGAAGGAAGACACCACACAGGAATCTGCTGCCACTTAAAATTAGGAAAGACTAATGCAGTAACAACTAGTAGAGGGAAAAACAGATGCAAGCCAGCCAGAAGAAAATCAGAGCTGCAACAAATAAATTAAAAAAAAAAAAAAAAAAAAATCAAGATGAATTTACACTTGAGATAGTGCTCACTTCAAGTCTACCAGCTTTTGCTGTCCTTCAAAAACCTTTTGGATACAAATTACTTAAAAGCTCTACGCATATGTTCTTCAGATATTTACCTACAAAAGACATCTTAGACCAGAGAAGCATACGACGATGTGACGCAGAATTTACATCTCCACACAGCACAGAATAAGGCAGAGTTCTCCCCATCCCTTCCTCCCTTTACTGAAAGGCTTCTTGGCTTTCTTTTTTTATTTTTTTTTTTTTAAAACACATGAAGTAAATAGCATGCAGATGAACAGAAACCCTGCAGAAGAGCACTGTAATAAAATAATTTAATTACACGTGGAAACTGCTTGGACACATGGAAAAAGCCGCTCAGTTTAACACAATACTTTGACTCAAGTCTTCACTATGTTTACAGCACTTACTTTCCAGAGTGACCGGTGAAAGTCTAAAGGTAGTTATAAAGTTAATATGTCTTTCAGATAAACAATAATATAACCACTTTTCACAGAGTTAAAATGAAATATTATCTTAATGACAGAAAGAATGATCATTTAGTCTCAAACATCAAAGCGATAACTATGTTTAAACTGTAGGCAGGTAAAGTATCCTTAGGAAGTGCGCAGCAACCCTGAGCATTAGTGCCTGCTGACACTGCTGGCAAGGGTGCAGTCCTCACCTGGCTGCCACGGGACAGCTCCACCCAACTATTTCCATTACTAAGCTATCTGAAGACTCTGCAATAGTAAGGGAAGGCAGAGAATACCTGGCTTTCTGTAACAGCATTTAGGACCTTAATAGTTAAATAATCATACTCTGACCACTGCTTTTTATCCGCTGTAGTCAATATTGAAAAGGGTGGAGGGAAAAGTAAGACATTGTATTCTTTCAGTTCTACATAAGCTGCTTTTTAAAGTGTGAAACTACGGCAGCCTCTACTGGAGTATTATTACCATAAATCATTAAAGCAACTGTAAGTTGATACGGCTGCAAAGTTTTATAGACAAACAAGCACCTGAAACAAGTTCGCTTAGCCAACAACTTCCCTCAGTCCTGTGGTTTTAGGACAAGCCCAGCTTTTTGTAGATGTAGACTTTGCAGCAGATGCAAAAACACCCAAAATACCATTTTCTTCAATTTAGCTCAGTAACCTGCTCCTTGACTCTGAATTAACTGATGAGGAATTCTGAAAGAAATCACTACTTTTCTTCTCCAAACCATGAATGTAGACTAGGGGACAGGTCTCCAGAATCAAAGTGCAGGATGGCCAGAACCACTTCCAGGCACTTTCTGCTTGTAAAAGAATACACTACAAATAATTCTTGCCCATTTTTAATTAAAATGGTGAACTAAAAAGCTATGCTTAACTCTGAGTTTTCTGACTATAGCTGTCTTCCAGCAAGAGCAGCTACATCAAGTTTCAATGAAGAATTAGGAAAGATGTCTTCCATTTTAATGTTGTATGAAGCAGGATTTTTAAGGTACATAGTTTAACTTACAAATTCTGAAGCTGTCTGCATGATGAACAACACTAAACTTCAATGAACTAACCACATTTCATAGCAAAACAACACATCTTAATGACTGAAACACCAAGAACCTGAAACATTTTTTATTTTTTTAAGGAAAATAAGTACAATGCAAAAGACTAATCAATCATGTAAAAAAAATGCTGAAGCTAAATAACCTCTTTTAACTACCACTACATTGACATTGCTTGCATTAATTTGGTATTTCTGGATCTGCAAAAAATAAGTAACCAAATCAAGCCAGAAGTTAATGAACAGATCAAATGCAATGTGATCACATGCAATGAAGAAATGCCACAGAAAGCCTGAAACCACAATATACAACAAAGCAGCTTATAAACGAGCAGGAATTTGAGGTCTACATTGCAAATGCAAAATTTCCCAAATTCTCAAGCTGTCCTGTGATTGCAGCATGCTCTACCAACCCTTCATTCCCTGGGAACAAAGTGACTGTCTTACAGTCTGCCCACCTTACTTCTTCCTTCTCCAAGACATTAAAACTGAAAGCAACGTTTAATTCTTCCTTTACTGAGGAATTTGAAAGGCAAAATCCACCACGGCTTGGAACAGATTATAGAGAAGTCAGCCTCGATACTTCATTTCCTGAATAATAATTTGCAATTTTCAGTAATCTTCATGCAATGTACCTTTTGTACCACTCAAGCTGGTGCTTTTGGACAAGACTGCTCATCAAGTTAATTGCTAGATAAGAAAGCAGAGCCTTTAAAACTCAGACCCAATGTTAAACATTGTACTGAGGAAATAACAGGATGTAATTATGGAACTAAATGAGACTATATTTTTAACTGCAAAACTGAACAGATAACGCAAAGCGAGCTAAAGTGGAAAACAAAAGGAAAAACTTGAACACATCTTTATCAGAATCAAACACAACTTCCATAATCCTGTGGATGAAAGGATGTTTTGCTAAGGCAATGAAAACCTTGAGTATTTCTTAATCCTGTGCCAGCAAGCAACATTAGTGTGGTAAAGAGCCTGCAGTACTCTGCTAGAGACAGGAAAAAGCCAGTTGAGTGTGTAGGCACATTTCCTTGTTTTAGTGCAGAGACAAGGCACAGTAAACCAGATGCTCTATAATATAGCAGGCCTTGCCCAGACATAAGCACCTCTTTCTGACATAACAGCTGAGTAAGAGGGTCAGCAGTGGTCTAATGTCTCCAAAGAGTAAGTTACCACCAGTGGTTAAAACATGCCTTAAGTGACCTTCATCTTAGCTTAACACTGAACAGAAAGTTGTATTTGCTATCCATGCTGGCATCAAGTGAAGAAAATGGAAGGGGGGGGGGGAAGGCAAGGAAATCAAATATACAAAACAGATCTCTGATGGCATCACTGAGCAAGCTTCATATGCTCTAATCAACTCCACAGCAAGAAAGCCCTGTTTCAGGAATACAGAAACCCTCAAAGGATTTCTGCTCGATGCAAGCTACAGTGAAATGAAAGAGGTGGTTCTACGCCTTCTGTTCTCCTTCACACCCTTGGATGGAAGGTAGAGACAAAGCCAGAGCATGCGCACATGGAACAGGTTAATGCTGAAAATGTGGCTGTACTGACAAATAAGAATCACAAGTGATACAGCTGTACTGGTTTAATCAAGATTTGGTATCATTTCATAGCAGTGGTCTGACAACTCATCTGTAACAACTCAGACAACGCTGTCTTTCATCTCCCAAGGCCAGAAAATTACTAAACCAGCTGATTTCAGCAGTGATTTGTGCTGCATTTCCCTGCATAATAAAAATGCACAGCTGCAGATCCATCTCTATGTAGATATAAGCAAGACAGAGACTGCACAATATACTTGGAGGAAAAGAAAACTAGACTGTGTGTCTGTGCCTATGTCCACACATCACGTATACTCTAGAGAAGAACTAAATGAGTTTAGATTGAAAAAGAGAAGTTTACCATATGTTTTTGTTGATGTTTTGTTTACATGAGCTAGTTGGGACAGCTGAAGCCAACAATTTTTCCAGAATCGTTCTTCTAACGCTATTCACAGATGTACTGTTTGCGGAGCCTCTACTGCAGATCAACTCAATTTGTCTGACCACTGTCAGGCTGAACCAGGGACCTCGGAGTCCCAACATCCCATCACCCATCCCAAAGCTGTAAGTCTACCAGGTTTGTCATTCTCCAGTGTAACATGAAGACTATTTCAAAGAGACTTACTTGTATTCTGTAGTGTTTGAAGATTTTCTAGTGCCAGGGATCTCCTCTCCGTTCTTCACCCAGTAACTGGCAGAAAGGGGGCTGGGACTTGTGGTGAGGTTACACTGCAATGTGACAGCCGGACCATACAGATGAATGACTACATCCTCGCTGGCGTTGATCCTGGGCTCTGAAACAAAGGACACATTAAATAGCAACAAATCTTCACTGGCAATTGTGCCACACTAGTCTAAAATTCAAAGGGGAGTCGGGAAGGGAAAAAGAGTACACAAGGAATGTCACTGCACTAATTTGGGAGACATCAAGAAAGTCACAATGAAACAGCTGACTATAGTGAAAGCAACACCTTATGGATCAGCACCCCTACATGGAAAAAAGAGATTTATTTTAGATTGTTTATTTTAATATTTGACATCACTACCGATTTCTGTGCAACATTATTAATAATTTTTTACACACTACTGACCATAACATGGGAAAATGCTTGTCCTGTGATTATACATAAGAGATCAGCTGGTCCTTTGGAAGCAACTTCTTTCTGGCTATTACTTGGTTCCTCTACTTACTTTGATTTTTTAAAACAAACCCATTTTCTATATAGAATAGCTCTAAGAGTTAGACAGTCTTCTGAATAATATTTCTGGACTTCTCCCTGCAAAAAGACTACTGTCTACCTATGGAAAATATCCTGTGCACACAAGATATTTCAAATAGCACAACTTTTCTGATGTCTGAAATTCGAGCAAGCACGCAGTGTGAATAAGGCACAAGTTTGATGAAGAATGGCTGAAAGCAGCCCTTAATGCTTAACAATAAAAAGTAAGAATACACAGCATGTTAAAATTAGAGTTGGGAACTATTTTGTTTCTAAAGTAACTTTAAACATAAACATTTATGAAGAAAAAAAATATGTGAGCCTCATTGCATAAACAGACCACAAGAGTTACATACTTCGCTGGTTGCATTAGGAACTGAACTCAGGCTGATTCATATTACAATCTTACCTGGTAACCTCAAATTCACATTTTTTAGGGCAAAACCTTTCAGAAGTGGTAAGATTAGTATGAGGGCACTGTCTTTACATTTGATAACCACATTTTCTTAAGATCATGCAGTTGGCTATTACTCTTTAACAAATAAGGCTGATGAATTTTTAGAATAGTCAGAAACAAATAATAACAACTTTAACTTGGAAAAAAGACCTTTCTATTGAAGGTCTCATGGCTCACAGCTAGTTTCAAGTATTCTGTAAAAAAAACCTTGAACACAGGATGACAGAGCTTAAAGGAAATTTAAGAATTCTTGCTATTAGTCTTCCAAAAATATCTAGATTTAGTATTGGCTATAGTTACAGCTTGAACTAAAGGCCACTGCTGCAGCAGTCTTCACCATGTAAATGCTACTGCGTCCTCTGTCTTTGATGTATTTCCTTACTTTAAAGGGTGAAATGAATTCCAAAGAGGTAGCTGTTGCCAGCTGCTCATTTCACCGACCACGCTCCCGCAGCGCCAACCTCTCTGCATGCGAGGGCTGCCTCCTCTGCATTCTGGTCGGCAGCAAAGTGCAGGAGGGTGAGGACGTCAGTCAGTAATGAACGTCTTCATGATTTTTGCAAGTCAGCAAAGGATTTTTAATCCTGTAAATTTTGTTATGCCTTGTGGTAACATATTTGGAATACAAATTGAGTCATACCCATGCAGTCTTTTGGATATTCATCTGCAAAGCACTTGGAAAACAAATTATGAAATAGAATGAGGGAAAGTGGAAAATACCAGTACTGTCAGAAACGTTGCATTTTTCATCACATAAAACATTCATCTATTCAACAGTACAGTACTTAGATTATTGCCCAGAGAGGCAGGGAGAAAAAATATCTACCTACTAATAACCTGACAAAGACATTTGACTACTGTATATGCTTCCCCCCTTTCTTTAGCAGGCTGGCTTCTTTTCACTGCTATTTAAAACTAGGACTATCATTTAATTGCAGAAAAAGTGGCAGGTATTGTAGTAATGCAGGTTTTGTTGACAATTCTCTTAGACACTTTGCTATTATCACACATTTTCAACTGGGCTTCTGCCTCATCGTCCCCATGCTGGGAATTTTAACCATGCAAGGATCTGTTTGGTTCCTATGCAGCACTAAATTGTTTTGTTGAAGCCATACCATTACAGGACTGCCCTGTATGCTTTTCCATCCCCCACAAAAAGCTTGTGTGCATTCTCAGAAAAATACTAACAGAGCTCTGGAAATATTTTTAGCAACGTGTTTGAAATAGTAATTCAGTATCAGAACATTTATCTAGAGAAATAAACTTTTGCTAGAATTCACTGATCATGCTGGGTTTTGTTTTAAACATTTTTCTTTGATGATGAAAGCAGTGTCTTCAAGTCTGTAGTCTGTGAAATAAATGCAGTGTTTTCCTTTTAGGAGGAGGATGCTGGCAGGACAGGCTTCAGGCCGCTGTAACAGAGACTGCAACGCATCTAGTGAGCGCTGTTATAACAGATGCTGCTGATGCTGTCTGTGCTGTGCTGAGACACAACCTAAAGCGGTGATCAGCCTGCAGCAATCCTGGAAACGGAAAGCATACACGCTGCCATCAGAAAGCATTACACAAACGCTAGCAACAGGAAAAAGTCACAAAAAAATTTGAATCTAGTCCCTACAGAAACCAGAAAGTTAAAGACTTAATCCAGAAGGGTTTTCACAGTGGTAATCTTCTGGTTTTCATATTCTGTTGATAATGCACTCTTCAGCCTCTAACACTGATGAATCAGAACATACAAATAACCTGCCTGGAGCTCCAATGACCACTTCTGCTAATTCGCACCTATTCTTACCTATGTCTCTGCTAAGCTGTGATGTCCAGACAATATTTACAGCTGTCTCAAGCTTGCTTTGCTGGAGTTTGCTGGGGCCTTTTGTGCCTGACTTGCTAATTTTTGACGTTTTAGGATTAAAGAAAAAAATTAACAGCAACTGGAGGTAACTGCAGTCTCATTTACATCTTTTACCTTCATTTATGTTGCTTTAATTTATTTAAAAAAAAGAAAAAGGAAAGAAAAGGGGGGGA